ATGATATCGTTTTGTGCAGCAACAGGAGTGCTCGTTTGGATCTCTAACAAAGATGGATTTTAGCATATAATATTCGTTTACTTTTGCTCTAAAACACTCTCCAACACTTTTGTTTGATTTCTCTTACCGTTTGGAGCAGGAGTTCTACCCTCGTTAAATTCTTCATTGGGTCCTTGATAGCTGTATATCTGCGATGCAGTAAATAAAATTCATGGTTTTACTAGCAAAATTAATTGGGTGACATTGTTATAGATAGTATCTCTAGAGTCTAGACAACTCTTGCATCTTTGATGGCAAATCAAAATGCCACATGAAGTTGAAATGAGAAGATTCCTCTCTTCACGCGTGTAATCTAATACCTATGATGGGTAGTGAAAAGGGATCTAAATGTACTAAGGCATAAGAGATTCCGGTTACTAATTTGTAGACATGTCGAAGAAGTATATATCTACAGAAATTCTGACTACTCAGTGAAAAGCTGAAGCATTCTTACATTTGGTGTGGACAACATTTCATCATAAGGATCAGGTATTGGCCCATCAACTTGAGGAATCTTTAAAGAGGAGCAGATGACATCTCGTGGGACCTTTCTACCGCCTACAAAGGTGATGCAGAATACATCACCCTCAAGGGTTGCCTGCAAAATTTTTAGAGGCGATTTTATTTTTATGCATTCATTTTCTCTTGGTTGACATCCATAAACTTGTTAAGTGGAACCAAAGAGAAGGCTTCTCCGTTTCTTTTTCCAATACGAAATGAAGGAAGCTAAGGACAATTTGTTTTACTTGTGTCAACTATTCCAAGTGCAAATGCAAATGTATAGTTCTAAACACACCTCAGGCATAGCATCGCTTGCACCATCCTGTTGTGGTATAGATCCGCCATTTTGATATTGTGCAGAAGAATCATCACGCTTTCGTTTCCCGGAGGATGGGACAAATAAGTCCTGGATGTATTCCAATTAAGGCCAATAAGTTCCATAGTTCAAGTATAGTCGACTTACAAGATCTGTACAATGAGTAAGTACTTGAAAAGAACACTAATCAAATAAATCATGTAAGGGTTGCAAAGAAGATTTGAACCCAGAGCCCCAAACTCAAGGCTCTCAATATGTTAGCGAAAGTAGTACCTGCGTAAACTGCTGGTTAGGGTTTCTTCTCTCAGGCTCATCACGACCATCCACATAAGCTAGCAGGAGGTCAGACATTTATATCCCAAACAAAAAAATGAGACATTTTTCTTTTAAGTGCTGGTAAAACTAGAACTTACCAACATTGACATCAAGCCTTGGATTTGTCCATGGAGAAGGTGGTTGCTGCAATAAAGAGCAGAAAATCAGAAAATACAAAGTCAAGTTTCTGTTTAGCCTGTGTGAAGTCCATTCTCAGCTTCACAGCAATTTTAATAAGTATAACTCACCATATAAGGACTGGGTCTTCCTTTAACATCGACGTTGTTTCCATTCTCAGTTCCAGGGGTTGGATAATCACTTGAGCCGGTAGGGATGTTATACATGGAGGAGTTATCAGCAGTACCCGGAAGCGGCGTTGGAAGGGGAGTCTGCAATGGTGTCTACTCAACACAAAAATCAAAACCATGGTCAAGACAAAAACAGATTCAAGACAAGTGGGTAAGATTACTCACCGGAGGAAAGAGCATTTCAGCTGTAGGAGTCTCGTACTCCTCTGTACCTTCATAAGGAACATTCAAATCATGCGTCAGTGGACCTCCCGGTGTTGCCTTCTGAGCCGATGACCTCTCGATTGGTCCAGACAAGACTCCAGCTTGCATCATCTTCATTTCCCAAATCTACCCGGAAAAAAAAAACACAGCAGTATCCGTCGAGTTAAGCGCAAAAGATTTATGGATTCAAGCCAACTAAAAGAGATTACTTCCCAAAACCCTAGCTATAGCGGAACAAATCCCAGCCACCCACTACATCAATTCCACTAAAAATATAAAATTTCCATATTTTTCCGGCGAAATGAAGACAAAACTTACTCCTTGAAGCTCGGTGAGAACACTCTCGCCGGGACCTCCGTTGTTAATAAACTCCTCGCGAACTTTGTTGACGACGTCCTCGATGACATTGATATACACACCGCTCGTTGTCGTCGTTGTAGCCATCTTCTCAGCTCCCTCAAATCTCCTAAATCTAATTCCGGCGAAATACGAAATTCGTCCTCCGGGAATCTGAATTTATCAGAAGCAAGCATCAATTTAGGGCAATTTTACCCCAACAAATGCCAAACGCAAAAAACCCTCAAATCCAAGCTCGTTACGCTCACCTAGGGTTTGACGGAGGCGGTAAGACGGAGTCTGGTAGAGATCGGCGACGAAGCGA